ATGTTGAGAACAACAACAACAACAACAACAAAACAAACATTTTGGCCATCATTATCATCTTGTTTGTTTCTTTTTTTTATATAATGTAACATTGGTAACCATTATTATATCATCATTATCATTATCATCAACTATTTCGACTACCGATAAATATGGTTAGTGTTTTCTTTTTTCATTTCAAATTTATTTTCCATAGTTATATTTTGTCATCATCATCATCATCAACGAAAAAAAAACATTAACATCGAAAATAAATAGAAAAAAAAATGAATACGGTGAACCTTCGACCTCGTGCAATCAGTCGATAGCCACTTGGCCTTATATAACTATTATCATTATCATCATCATGACGGTAACGGTCATCATCATCATTTTGGACAATTTTCAACAAAAAAAATGTTGTTTCACATTGCGTGTCATTTGTCCATGATGATGATGATATACACACACAATAGAATGAATGAATGAATGAAAAAAATAGTTATCTTTCCACAAACACAATTGCCAGTTGATAAGCCATTAGAATGCAATTATATCTCATTGATGATTGTGTTGAATTCTTCTCTCTCATTCTCTGTTTGTTTAGCGTTAGTCAATTTGGAGAAATGAAAAATCATTACTTTTGCATGTTATTTTCTGATTCAGAAGAATCGATGATAGAAAATACATTTTGCAATACTGTGTCCTAAATTTTTTGAATCAAGAATATCATTCATATAGAACGTAAAACGGAAATCTTGTTCGTTTATTACATTTAGCAATGACAAAAAAAAAACAATAAATCTTTAGCTGTTTGAAAAAAAATACTGAATCAACAAGGTTTAATCATTATCATCATCAACAATTTTCAACGTTTTTTTTTTTGGTCATTTTTTTTAATCATCAAAAAGAAATGATGACAACGGGATAATGATTATGGCAAACAATTTTATATAAAAAATTCAATACAATTGTTATTATCCATCATAACCAGCAACAGACAGACAAACATTGGCAACATTAAACATCCTCAAGATGATGATGATGATGATAGAAAAGAAAGAAAGAAAAAAAAACTAAGCAATGGATCATTATCCCGAATGGATAATGTTTAGAGGATTATTATCTTTGATTTGTTTAGAAGAAAATGATGATAATGATGAAAGAAAGAAAATCATCGATACCACTATCAAACAAACAAACGATCATCAAATGATGGTAAACGGTTGTGTTGTTAATGATGATAATAATAATAATAATAATGATGTTGTTGTTGATGGTGATGGACATACATACATATACAAACAAACAAATGAACAAAACAAAGATTAAGAATTGTCCATCGTTGAAATTGTTCAACAACAGAGAAAAAAAAATATTCAAATTCAGGTAAAATGCAACAAGTGAAATAGGATTTTTTTTTGCTTTATTCAAGAAAAAAAATCATCATCATCATCATCATCATCATATGAAGATGGTTTCCAGATATTTTTTTTCATTATTCATCATTCGATCATCAAACCAGTTGTTGAATTCCCCCCCCCATTTGATTGAGAATAATGTATGCGGTAGTTTGTAAGTTTTCAACAACCGCAAATAATAATAAAAATTTTTTAGAAAAAAAAATCAAACGGTGTTTGTCAAAGGGCCATCATTATCATCATCATCGTCGTGGTCGTCGTCGTCGCCGTCGTCGTGATTGTTGACATAAACAACATCCAATAATAATGATGATAATCGAACAACAACGACGAAACTGATCATCAACTGGTTTTTTGAACAATTTTTTTGTGAGTTGAAAAAACGAACATACCACACATATGATTTTTTATATTTGAAACATCGTTAACATATTACCACCACCATTATCATTCAGTAGTATCAATAAACAAATCGGTCATCATCAGTATTGACATGTTACAACGATGATCGTTGAACAAAAATAAGCAAAGAAGAAAAAACCCGAAACCAATTCAATGGAAAAAAGAATAGATTCTTTATGAAGATTTATTAAGATTTCAAAATAATTTCTTTACTCGATCATCATCATCATTATCGATTCTTGATTTCAACTTTTTCTTTTCTATTGATGATAAGAAAAAATACTCGGAAATTATAAAGAATCCAAATGAAATGAATGGTAGTGAGAAGAAAAACATTCAAGGTTTTATCATTTCTTATCTGTTGTTTTTTTAACTTCTTCATCATCATCATTATTATCATTTTGTTTATTTTATTCATTCGAGAAAAAAATGATGATGATAAACTTCAGTTTGAAAAAAAACTGTACTAATCGTCATCGTCATCGTCGATGATGATTTCCAGAAGTTATATAAATATACAACCAACAAAAAGCAAATGATAAGCAGGTAACAAGACTTGAAATAAAAATAAAATTATCTATCTTTAAAGGTCTAATCAATTTTTCTTTGCTTTCCCCAAAAGTTGATCTTTGATAGTTATATAAATAGGTAAGTAACATTTTTTTTTCTCAACTGACAGAGGTAAGGGAAAAAAATAAAGTTTTCGCTCTTTCCCCTTTGGATAAATGGCCAAAATTGTGGTTAAATGTCATGATAGTTTTGGGAAAAAAATTTCAAAATTTGTCATTTGTCATATGTTGAAAATTATCGGTTTTCTTTTTTGTTTTATGTCACATCATCATTATCATCATCATCGACGACGAACGAAAAAAAAAATTAGTTAATTCAATCATAAGATTGGATAATACGAAATGTTATTGATGATGATGATGACAATCAATAATGGCCGAAAAAAAAACATCATCAAATATTGGATAATGATGATGATGATGATGAGGCTAAATTGTTTATGTTGGCCAATGTTTTGTCAATAGTGTATTGTTGTTGAATGATTGATTCAAATCATCATCTTCCAATGATGACCGAAGATGAATTGAAACATAACAACAACAACAACAACAGAACTGAATGGAACAAAGATGAAGAATGAACACAAACAAACATGGAAAAAAAAGAAGTTGACCTTGTCTTATGTTGTTGTTGTTGTATTTTTTCTTTCCATCATTTTCCATACCAATCATTTTCATTGATTTAATTCGTTGTTTGAATTTAATAGATTTCTATGTTTGTTTGTGTGCGAACATTATTGAACAGATTCCTTCAAGAATTTTTGTTTTCTTCTAATTCAGTAATTTTTGTTTTTTGTTGAAAAAAATTGAAAATTTTATAAATAATGAATGTAGCAATGAAAGCAATTCTATTTCTAATCAGATTACAATCGCTTATACAATCGATATTTGATTAATTTTAATAGATTGATGATTGATGAAGAAGAGAATGAGAGGAAAATAAAAGAGGTAAACACTATTTTGACATCAATCCTTTTATTATCATTATCATCATCATTTCTTTTCCTACAAGATTATGATTCTCGATGTTTATAATCGTATTACATTTATTTATTATTTGTTAAACTTGCATTTTGTGAGTGAGAGAGAAAGAGAGATAAACAACAACAACAACAATCGAATAAAATATCCTATTTGTTTATTGAAAAAAACAATCTCATAATCAATCACCTAAATATTACCAATCATTTTGGTTTGTTTTTTTTCGTGATTATTGCAAACACCTTTTCATCATCATCATCATAATCAGATGTTAATAAATCTGATTGGTTTTTTGGTTTTTTGATTTAAGAATTTGGTTTTGTTTTTTTTCTGGGTAAAACCAAGCAAAAAACATTGTCAGATTAGCATCATCGTTTGTTTGTCATTAACTCGTAAATTATATTTGAATATGAATAAATATTTTAAATAGGATTTTTCATCATCATCATCATCATCAAATATTTTTATCACACCCATAACATCGTTAATGAGCAGCCGCATCATCATCATAATATTCATATCGAATGATAATGATTATTATAATCATCATAATAATCGCTGTGGATGTGAAAATAAAGAAAAAAAAATACCACACACAAACAAATATTATAAAATGACATAAGATATATTTGTAGAATGAATGTTTATGAAACACACAAAAAACAAATGTGGCTAGACAAACAAAATGATGCGACCTTAATCATCAGTCAGTCAGTTACTCAACCAGCCAGAAAAAAAATGACATAACACCCTCAGTGTTGTTACACCAACCAACCGACCAAAAAAAAAAAAAAGCCTAAATCCTTTAAATACATAGCATCAGTGGTGAAGAAGAAAATCCGACACGAAGATCGGATTGAAATGGTGCAACAAGATGTTTGTTTGTTTGTTTTTTTCGAAGCTTGAAAAAAAATCCAAATAGCCAAAGGGTATAATAATGAAATGGTATTTTCGAAGTTGAAAGAAAAACGAAATTTTCTTCTCTTTCTCTCTTTTCTTTTATTGATGATGATCTGTGACCAGAAAATACTGTTTGTGTGTACGGATATTTCTTTGGATGTGCAAAAGAATGTGGCGAGAATAAAATAAAATAAAATCAGTGAAAAAACCGGCTTTTTTTCCTTCTTCAATCATCATCATCATCATCACGATCATCATCATCTTAATCGAAGGGAAAGAAAAAAATATTGCAAACGAAAAAAAAACTACCACCAACATCGGGTCATTCGGGTATCAATCTTTTTTTTTCTTTTTTGCTCATCAACTTTGATCAACAAACTATTGACCACAGTTGCAGTTTTTTTCCCGTTCTTTTTTTTATGAGATTTTAAGATTTTTTTTTCGTTTTTCTGTAAATCAAGCGAGAAAAAAATTTAAATTTTAAATTTAAATTTGCCATTGAAAAGTGATATTTGATGATAGCGAGAGAGAGAAAAAATCATTACATTTAATGATAATGTGCTAATGGACATGGTGATGACATTATAATAATCGTATAATTGATGAAACAAAAAAAAACAAAACAAAAATTCTTGTTTCAATTTATCGATTTTAAGATTAATTTAACGGGATCCTTGTTGTTCTAATTAAACGATTTATTTTTTCTTAATCTAGTTACAAATTTACAATAAAAAAAACATTTACTTACTTGAAAAAATCATTACGGCAATAAATTTTGCCATCACGTGAGAAACATTTTTCGGTTAAATTACATTTACATTCACAACATTGAACACATTTTGTATGCCATGAACGATCCAATACGTTAAGTAAAAAACGATCAAGTATAGGCAGGTCACAACCTGCACATTGAATCATCTTCATGGTAACCATACGATATTTTTTTTTTAAATTATATAAAAAAAATTTGCAAAATCAATCGATGAATTTTATCAATTTTTTATTCTTTTTCTGAAACACGTGTTGATCGTAGTAGATTGTCGTAGGATAATATTTCAAATAAAAAACAAAAAACAACAACACTGAAAACAACAAAAATTTAAATCACCATAAAACACAGATTTACACCGAAAAAGAGACCAATTTGAAAACAAATAACAAACACAAACACAATTGCTGCTGACCAGCAACAAAACTATACGAAAAACAAAAGAAAATTTCGATGAATCGATGACCAAATTGATTGATTGTATTTTATATCGGTTTTATAAGTATGATCGGAAATCTAAATGCAATGAAAAATAAAAAAAGATTATCAAAAATGATGACATGGATTTTTTGTTTATCAATGAAAATGAAAATGTCATTCCACCTAATACGGCGACAACAACTGTGTCCACTAATGTTAAATTATTTTTCAATTGATCCGATATCGATATATGATTGATAGATATCACCCAGAAAAAAAATAACTATCATCATCATTATCATTAACTACTAACATTAAAACTAAAAAAAATATTTTTCATTGGAAAGAGTCAAACAGAGTGAAAACTGTTTCAAAATGAAAATCATCATCATGTTTTTTCTCTCTCTCGCTATCTTGACATTTTATTTTGCTTTCGTTTCAACTACCACCACCACCATCATCATAAACAACAACAACAATCTACTGGTTCATCCATATCCGTTGTTTCATTTTTTGTTAGCAAAAAAAAAGTAGGAAAGCATTTAGTAATAAAAATGACAATAAATAAAATAAAAAAATCAGGAAATACATGACTGAATTTGATAGTTTGGTTTTTTTAAAAAAACGACGACGACTACGACATTAGCAAAACATTTGCTAAAGAGAAACACACATATATCATATCTATGAAAATATTTTTTTTTGTTGAAATTTCTATCGGTCATCATTAATTTTAGCCATAGTTTTTAGTAGTTGATTTTCTAAATTTGAAACAAAATCTAATAAATAACAAAAATACAGGACATCTGGATAAATGTTTTCTTGTCTTGTTGGCTAAATCATCTACAATGTTCATATTAGATAAGAAATGGATGTCTAATCAATCATTTAATGATCATTTTGATGATGATCAATAAAAACAAGCTTAATCAATGGATTGTTTGAATCAGTTTTTTTTCTGTTTTTATCAATAGAATTGGGGAACACAGAATCAGAATTTTAAAATCTGATTCTGTGTTTTTTTTGAATATGATGAATCGAGGAAAAAAAGTGATGTTGTTTAATTGTTGTTAAATTACCATTATTAATTAGCCATTGATGTTGCGAATGTTGTTGTTGCTGTTGAATATAACACATATGTTGTTTGTCGATGATTTGATGATGATAACAACAAAAAAAATTCACATTGAAAAAAAAACTTCTGAAAAGTATATGGATAAATATTATCTCATATAATTATGTGATGTTATTCAAACATACAAACTCTTACTGACTGTGTTGTTACTGACTGAACCATGGTTGGAATATTGTTGTTGTTTTACGAATTTTCTTTTTTTTTACGGTGATTTAGTTGAAAGAGAGATAAAGTAGCAGTAAAAGCAAAAGAACAGAAAAAATGCCGGGAACATAGACCAATTGTATGGCTCCTCTTTTTTTTCATCTTTCTCTCATTCATTCATTCTATCTGAATTATATATGTGATCTGCCTTTTCTCATTGATTCTTTTGCTTTTCATTCATTCATATATATGTTGTTGTTTAAAAATGAAGAATCCATTGAACCAATTGCACAATACACATACAGATATAAGAAACCCATACATACAACAGTTGGCTTTTAACCACACACATTGTGTATGTAGGAACAAAAAAATGGGCTGGATCTAATTTCATCTTATTTATATGGTTGGTTATTTGGACAAAAACACGCCTTCCTTTGTCGAATATAATCACAAATGAAAAAGGAGGCTGAAAGTTTTTTTTTTTTTTGAATTTTTTTCTTTCTGATCATTTCTTGTTTGTCTATGTGCATGCTATTTGATGATGATAATAACCAACAACAACGACAACAACATCAGGATCTTCTTTACCATCATGATAACGGGTGTGAAAAATGTTTTTGTTGAAATTGACTTTTTTTCTGCATGTGTTTTTGTCGTCTGTCTTGTCTCTTTCTTTTTTTCTGTACATGCGTCGAAGAATCGAATCGAAAATTCCTGACCAAAAAAAAAAAGATCTTCAGACAAGAAGCCGGGTTATATATGAGAATTCATTCAATGAAAACAATCGAGAGAGAGAGAGAGAGAGAGAGAGAGAGAGAGAGGAAGAAAATGCGAATGAGAATCATACACACATGTTATGCATTATTCTGTTGAAGATTTCTTTTTTTTTAGTTTTCTTTATTTTCAAGAAATCATAATAAAAAACATAATATACCGGGCAAACAGAAAAATGGAAAAACTAAAATATTCAGAAAAAAATTCATCTTGAATCTGGTTACATAATAAAATATTATTCGGATAAAAATGTTAATACATTATGTATCTGTAACAGAGTTTTATATATTTTTGGTTGATTTGAAGCCAATAATTTATGGATTTACCTGAAGTTGAATATGATTATTGATCACCATCATCATCATAATTCATAAATGATATGTGATCGAACACAGAAGCGATAGGATATTTTGTCATGCTATGTGATTTTTTCCGCTCATCATGATGATTATCTTATTTCTTATTTTTTCTTTGTGTGAATCTTTACTTCAACGAAAAAAAATTTTTTTTTTTTTGTTTCTTTTCCAAACACGTTTCTGCCTAAGGCAGTGATGATGATGATGATGATGTTCCTGTCTTGACGACATCATCATCAACATCATAATTGTAGTTACAATTGTTGTTCAATATTCCTGGCAAGAGAAACACAAAGAACCTCTTTCAATTCAATCACCTCCAAACACCAATGTTCCAAAATGTTTTTTGTTTTCCGAATGTAAAGAATTGCGAAGAATTTTTTTTTGAATCGAAAAAATATGATCATTTCATCAATGAATGACTCTTTTTTTACACAAACATTGTCCGAGCTAAAATATCGATTTTATTCGGATTCTTTATACAATCGATATTTTGGTATTTCGAATGAAAAGAAAAAAATTCTGAATTCATTGACCACACAAAATTTTTTTTCTCCTTCTTTGGATTTTCATCATCAAAAACGATCATTCATTCAGTTTTTTTTCTTCTTTTAATTTTTGCTCATTTGTTTTATCGAAATTCTCCTTTTCTCTTTCGGAAAAATGATGGTACACACACAGCATGATGTCCTTGATGATGGTAAAATATTTTTTTTTTCTCGTTTCGCTCATCACTCTTTTTTTCCTTTTTCTAATTGCTCTTCAAGTATCTTTGTTGTCTTTGTTTTTTGTATTCTTTGACATTGACCACCACAACATGATCTCAATATATGACCACCCTTTTTTTGATTCTTTGTTTGTTTCTTCTAATCTTTACAGTCCAGACATCTGAACAAATTAAACAGACAATGCAATGACAGGTGAGAAAACTTCAAAAGAATGTTATGAAAAATGAAATTTTTCTTTTCTTTATTTCATTTCAAAATGAATCAAACAAACAAAAATTTGTTCTTGTCTCAATAGATCAACCAATACAAATGAACTGAATAACTGTCGGTTTCAAAGACCAAAAACAACGGTTTATGTATTTGATCCAGAAAAAACACAACAACAACAAAAACATCGAGGTCTAGTCTCTAGTTTTGGTAAGTGTTTGTATGTGTGCTTTATTGACTTTCCATAGATCTTATCTTTTTGTTTTTGTTTTTGTTTTTTTGTTTTGATCATCTTAAGTCAAGTGGATCAGTTGTCATCATCCTTATATTTTGATTTATTTGTTTGTCTTGTTTCGTGGTTTATGTAAAGAAATATTCATAATTTTTGTTTCACTTTTGGAATAAAATGTGCAACAAGCAAAAATCATGTTTTTTCTCATTCTTTTTGCATGTTACATGTCAAAAGTTATTATTTTGTTTGTTTATTTTTCAAGAAAAAAAAACTTCAAATTCCTGATCTATATAGCTGATATGAAACAAACAAAAATATTATTTCACATTGTTGTTGTTATTGTTGGCACATTCGTGGCTTTCAAGCTTTTCATTCCAAAGAAAAAAAATGACTGTCCAAGATTATTTCATTTGTTTTTTGTGTGTTTGTGGATATTTTAGAAATCTCTTGAGAGATATATAAACTATAGGGTGTTTGGAAAAAAAAATAGAAGTCATTATCTATTTTGTTTTCATTGTATTTTATTTTATTTTTTTCTACATTGACACCATGTATAATATCAATGTTTGAATCCAACAAAAAAGATTATACCAGCCAGCCAACAACAAAAAAAACAACTATTTTTTGCTCCATATTTTTGGTGTGGATCGATCCAAAAACCCGAAAAAGAAGGGAAAAATTTCGATACATTCAATGGAAAAAACAATGGGAAAAAAATGATTGTTGTTCATGAAAATCAAAATATGTGATGTCTTTTTATCTCTATTTCTACGATTTTTTTTCTAGGCTTTTGTTTTTTCATAGAATTGAGAATATCCTTGGGAATTTTTTCTTTTTTTTTTTGGTTTTGGTTTTGCTTTCAATGTTCCACAGGGAATTTTTCCCAATAGTTATTCTATTTGGATCTGATTTTTTTTTTCACTCATTTCAAAATCGGATACAATGGCAAAAAAAACTGAATAGAAAGGATACATCAAACACAATCATCACACTTCAATGTCAAATAATTTTTGTTTCACTTTCCTGTTGTTGTTGTTGTTGCTTTTGTTGTTGTCATTCAATTGTTGCAATAAATCTGATATTTTTTCCCCGTTGAAATTAAATTCAAAAAAAAAAATTGAAATTTAAAATCATCATCATCGAATGAATAAAATAGGTGGTTATTTTATTT